GCATGTGTTTGCATGAGTTACACGCCCCCCAGAACACACAAGACAACGGTATATACTTGTACCTCTTCCGCCGCCGCGTCGGCGCCCCCCTGAGGCAAGAACAACGCCTCCTCCGGCACAACGTCCGAGTACGACGCTCCTGGCCCGTCCGCGCCGCCGAATATTCTCTTGTAGTCTTCGGTGTGCACTTCCATAATCTGAGCAGACGGGGTTCCGACAGCAAAAGAGAAATATTCGCGCGTGTTGTGAGGCAGGGCGCACTCTCCCGTATGTGAATGCAAGAAGCTAGTCTTCCTTGTGTGTTTTAGGTACGAGGGTGCTCTCCGCATCGTGTTAATGTTCACTCCAACATTGAGACAAGCTGGCTTAAGGTACGTAGATGACGTCATGTATCGAAGGCTTTCTTGCGGGATTCGCTCGAAGCACAAGCGCCTCCCGTCGGTGGACGGCCGTGTGCGTTTCTACGACCACATTAAGTGATCCCAGCCACAACCAAGGCCTTCGTTATCTCTCTCTCTCCCTCTCGATCGATATGTCGTCTTCTCTAAATTCGCTAAAAATGTTAAACACTCCATTCACGCCTCCTCTCTCTAATCCCCTTTCTTGTGTCCTTTTCCGTCTCTCTTTCCCTACGCCTTCATCACTGTACTTGTACGCACCCCTCTAGGAAAAATAGAGCCTCACTGAGAGGTGTCAAACCCGAAGCATGCCAGGGGCTTTTCTTTGTCGACAAGCGCCACAGAGTGGTGGACATCAACCCCACCCACTATCCATCCAGCGACGCCGAAGTCGAGAGGTTCGAGCCCGCGTAGCCCAAGCAAACGCCATGACCAAGACCCTGTGGAAAGCCCCGTCCACACCCTCTCTGTTGTACACATAACCTCCATTAGTGTCTAACCTCCGGCCGTGTCTGCAAGGAATGTCACCACAGCGAATGCCGCACGGAAAACGGAATTTTATCCCACACCCCACTGTTGGTGCCCAAGAGTGGAGTTTGGGCTCTCATTCGACCCCCGTAGGCCTTCGTGTACTATTCGAGCTGCACACATTCCCACAATAGTTTGTGCTAGCATAAAAAAAAAACAGAATAGTCTGTACAAAAAATAATTAACCATACACGCCTCCAGAATGGCACATGAAAAGAGAAACAAAAACGCCTCCTCAAACAACAACTGCCGCTGCCCCACCTCCGCCCCGAGAGCTATTGTTCTCGCGAAGTTCCCGACGGGGTTCCTCCTCAGCCACTTGGGCACCGGCTTGGTGTAGTAGATGAAGGATGACCCGGGCTTGCTGGCAACCACCGCCGCAATCGCCACCATGGCGTTGCTCTGGTGTGTTATTATTGCGAGGTACGGCAGGCGAAACACAGCCAGCACACATGTGAAACACGCCACGTGCAAAGACGCTAGCAGGAGAAGACAGTATCCCTTGTAGAGCGGATGCCTCTCACCGAATGAGCGTGTGAGCACGCGAATGGCATGGAACGGAAAGGCAAGCAAACACTCATACAAGTTGCGTCATTTATTGTTCCTTTTTTCCTCGGTTGTCTACGCGGCTGGCGGCCGGCACCGCCCACAAGCCAGACCCTTAACACATACGACGAACACGACTCTCTCTCTGTTAAGCTTTCCTCGTGTCGGTGTCGTTTCCGTGTCTGTGTCCTACGGTGGTACTGTACATCAACAACAAACAATACGATTACAGCGCGCGCGGTATTTTCGAGTGTCCCTTGCCTGCGGACCACCGTGGCTCGCGACCACCTCCGGAAAGGAAGATGCCGGAGTCTTGTTGAGCGCGTAGAGCTTGCGCGCCTTGTTCCCGGACAGGCCGCTCTCGGCCAGCCGCATCTGTGAGTGTGTCCCGTATGCACGTGCACCGCCGCCGCCGCCGCCAAAGAGACGATGTGACGGGCGATTCAAACAACCAACCACACTACATAAAACACAGGAACGTACCCTAGATAGAGGTACAAATACATTTCGGGTGACAACATCCAAAATCTACCCTAGAAAGACGGGAGAAAGAGAGAGAAAGAGGGCGAGAGACAGAGAGGGATCCTAGGGAAAGCGCCAAACAAACAAACGCGAACAAAAACTCCCAGTTTTTATCGTCAAGTGATCGCAGCCCCGCATCATCCTCACCACACGGCAATAAATAGTTGGATATAGATCCCCTCATTGCGTGCGCTGTCATAGACTGAAACGCCACGTGATACATAACACCACGCGAATCTCCCGCACAAACCCTTTCATCACGTCCACGCGAAACGCTACAGCGAACATCACGCCAAAACCCTCACACCACCACCGGGCGTGAACCCTACCTTACGTACAGCACTTGCGAACGCCACCATCTGTGTCTTACCAACAGGAATCCGATTTGATCCACACACCAGGGGGCCCTCCATGTGGAAACCATGGAAGACCCCCCAGGTTTCGTGTCAATCTTGGTCCGGGGGGGGGGGGAGGGAAGTCTTCCCTGGTTTCCACATGGAGGGCCCTTTGACA